AGACATGCGATAAATATTTTATTTAATTACAGCGTTTAGAATTACATTGATAATAGATAACAATTATGAACTTTTCCAACTTAAATGAAATTGCAATAGAAATATGAATACTCAGTACCAAATTATTTTATTATTTTCTATTCATTCATTATGTTAATGAATCGAAGATAATAAAAAATAATAATAGAAAAATGTTGTGAATATCATTCATAATTGAATTAAAATGCACAACTCGCACTGATTTCTCCCCAAAACGTTGAATTTTCAATGACAAAATCCCTTGAAATTTCAGTGAAACTAAAACCCGACAAAAATTTCGAAAAACTGTGCCCCCAGAGGAGTCAATGAACAAAGCACTGCTCCAGTTCTCTTGGACTCGTTCAATACAAGACACAAGGGCGGTACCTGTTTGACGCATTTTGTCCTTAAAACAGTTCCGGTGTTGCTCGGCTTCCAACGACACTTCTGCTTCTGACATGTAAATTAGTGTCCGCCATTGTGGTGACATCACCACAACTAACACGCATTCAAAACCGAATGGGCAATGCACAACAGATGCACTTGCATGAAAGTACATAATCATCTGTTCCGCGGTAACACATGACTAGGCGCTCTAGGGTTTTAATTTCCCTTTTCGAAAAAGAAGAAAAAAAATCGAGTTGATTCCGGGGAATCCGAGGGCTGAGGGAGTCAAAGGCATTGTTGTAATTTCGATGGAAGACCGAGTTGGACGAAATTCACGTTTTGTTGATTGTACGTGTGTTCCATCTCTTATTAAACAAGAGGCACGTCTGAAGGCACTTGACGGATGAATGTGCGGTGCAAAACAATAGATGCCGGTCAAAAATTAACCGGCATTGTCCTAACTTGGAGCCGCGGTGCATTACATCCACTATATAGATTAATTATCTTCGTACTGTCCCTCTTACCCCGACGGGGTTTTGTATTAAACGGTGGGAGGCAGACAAATTATCCGAGACAGGAATTGTTCGGGTGTGTGTATTTGCCCTGATAGTGATAAGGAAAAATAAATTTAGTCTGCAGGGGCTTTGACGGATATGACGGGCCCTGATGAATTACTTCGTGTGCGTTTTTAATTCAGCCACCGTCAGGCGTTTCTACTCTTGTTTTCTAAACACTGGGAGACGGCGCGGTAATTGGCTAGTGGTTTATGCATATTATTTATGATTATGTAATTGTTTGCTCATTGAAAAAGGCATTGATATGCATTATTTTTTTCGATAAATGAGAAAATCAATATTTCATGTTCACAATTTTTTTTTCTAATGTTTTGATTTTTTTTTGTATTTCTGTATTCATTATTTGAATAATAAAGACAATTATTGGAAGTAATATTTTGATATTTATGTATTTATATGTGTGTTTATGATATTTTAAATATTTTTTTAAAGAATTCAGACGTTGAGAAATAAATTTTTGAAGGTATCATATTTGAAGAAACCATTAGAAAGTTCACTTTCAGAGCAATTTACGAAAAATTCTAATTTTACAAAAATCATCACAAAAATCAAAACAATTAATTCATAACATTTTTTTGCTTATGGTGGGACCATCGACTTTAAAATAAATTCAAGAATTCAGAAATATAATATATGAATTAAATTTCAATTAATGTCGATGGATAGTTCAGTAATACCTTCATTTGAAAAAAAAATTCAATTCCATCGATTTATTGGTGAACAAATCCAACCCTTACTCGGACTTTTTGGATGATAACAGATCGATATATCACAAAAAATCCGCAAGCAAAAATAGCCAAAGTAATTGGAAATTCTTAAATAAAATTATGAAAATAAATAATTTCCCTTCAGCTAAAATATCTCCCAAACTCGCTGCCCTATTACCTGTATATCTGAGTGAGCTAGCCTCGTACCCGGTCCCACGGCACCTAAATCTCCCCTCAGGGGTGACCAAAATCTATTCTCCGGCGGGGGGACGGCACCACTGCAGAGCGAGAAATGAACGTGCCCCCGAATAAAATGTGGCACCGATCGGGGGACAGCCACAACAAACTTCATCGTTCCTCTACCGATGGCGCTAGCCAATTAATTCTGAAAACATCACTGGTAATTCAAATGCGCGGAAAGGAAAGGGGTAAAATGACAGAATCAAACGAATTATTTAAAAACAATTGTTCGTTTATTTGAGAATCGCACAAGACATACACCGTATCCGTTTACTTTTTATAATTAAAATTGTTGATTGGGGAAAAAACTTGTCAGACCAGCATGATTTTATTCACTCGATTTTATTCACTTCCGTTTATTCAAATTCCTGTATTCAACTCGGGTAATCGAGCTCGCACTCGTTTTGTGTTAAAAATTACAGTGAGATAAGTTTTTCATTCAGCTATTTATAGCCACTAAGTATCATAATCCAGGTTTACGTATCTCCTAGATCTAACTTAGACTCGGATTAATTACCCTGAACTTAGAAATAATTCATTTTACTAGGTTTCGATTATTTTTCTTCGTCACTTTTTCTACAATGTTCACCCTCGACTCAAACCTCTTCGTTAATTTTTTCATTTCGTCGTATATTTGTTTCTTTATTTACTCCATTATTATACATGAAATACCAGTTTTATCTCATAGTACTAGTTTAGCCCTTGTGACTCTACGGTTTTTACTCTCTTTATTTCTCTTTGAATATTCATTTTTTATAGATTTACCCTGTGTAAAAAAACGCCGTCGAATTATTTGTTGAGCGAGCGTATTTATAATCTTTCTAGTGACGATTAAAATTCAGGGATCTCATCCACTCGCTCATGTGTCACTCCACGACGTCGAGAATATTGTTTATTGTATGAAAAAATCGGGGGGCGGGGGGAGGAGAGGTTCGGGAATTGTTTTTCAAAAATAAATAAAAAAGCGATGATTTCTCATGGAAAAATGATAACACAAAGTTTTATTCGTGACATTTTTCATCTCAAGTATATTTTTTAATCTCTCGAGTACAAACTAAAACTGCCAACATTTGAGGAAGAAGAATAGGAGACTTGCTGAGATTTGCCATGAACACTAGTCATGTGGAGATACAGCGAGATGTACTCTAGGATTTTTTTCCAATTTCTCGTTTTCTTTTTTATTGATTTCTATAATTCATTTATTTCTCCCTCTGTTAATAAGCTCAAGTATTCGATTAATGTTTATTCGTGTCGTTAAAAACCAGGCGTAGTTTCGAAGGACCATGTGCTTGCTCCCGTTTCTCGCGTATGTGTTGTGCTTGCGGGCAGTGCCATTATGTACAGTACACGATCGAGTTTACATAAACATTGTTTGACGAGTATTGTATCTCAGAATGACGTAACAAATTCCCCATCCTCCTGAAAATGATAACGAGATTGCATGTGTTTTTCTCATCACGTATGATTGTGTCTTTAATTTCTATTTTCTTTAATACTTTAAAATTCTTTTTTATCTAAAACCATTCATGTCTAACATCGAAAAAACTATCTGATATGAGTGTTTTTTTTTATTTTAATTTTTAATTCCATTTTTCGTTTTTTCAGTATCAATCACTCGATCAATTCCAATCGCTCATTCAAAATCACACTTGCACGGGTATCAATTATCGACTTATTGCCTATATTTTTTTTTAGGAACAGTTCTCTTCGAAAACGTTTACAACGAGGGGGGGAAAACACGATAGTCTACTTATAATTACGGAAATAATGAGAGGAAAAAAAACGATTCAATTATTTCAAACGTACGTTCAGTCTTCAGCGGGTGAATGGGAAGAGAAAATAATATTTTACAAGCCTCTGCTATCTCATGAATTCAAAGTAATCCGGATAAACAATTGGAACCGCCACTTGACCTCGCAATTATTCCGTCATCTAAATAAATAGGGAAGAAACGATAAACCTAGACAACTTTGGCATCTTCTTTAACCTCTCAGAAAACAAGCGAATTTTTTTCCAATTTTTTTTTTCAAATTTTTCTTTGCAATAATAATTGGTAATTTAGTTCCTCTTTTTCGAAATAAAATAAATGTTAACGTTGCAAGCACAACGACATAATAATAATTAATAATGCTAATAATAATGGTAATAATAATAGCCCATAAAGTCAAATACACAAGTAATAAACATAATATACTAATAATAAAAATGTAATAATAATGAATAATGATAATAATTATGGTACATTTTACACAAGTACAAGTGCCACTTCTGAATCGTTTCACATGTGTCACTCATCAATTTACAAACAAAAAAAAACACCTTCCATCATTCCCTCCTAATACGTTTTTTCATACTTAATAATTATGCATCGCGACGGGTCAATTACTCCCTCACAATATATCAAGTCATACAATATATTAATAAATAAATAATCTTCAATGCGATAATAAAGTTCACTATTTTCCGTGTAATTCTTTTTAATTCCTATATAAATATTTATATCTGTATTTATACCTTCATATTTATATATTTATATATTGATTCTTTATTTATATTCAGTATTTATATTCACATGTACGTGTTAAGATTGAGTTATTTATAGCTATGTATATTGGTTATAATTTTGTGGTTTTGTTCCTTTGTTGAGATTTTTCGCTGAGAACTTCTCAGTGGTAACCATTTTCAATCGATCGGATTAATCAAGTTGTTTAATATCTAGGTAAATTTCTCGGCAATTGTGTTAAAGGGGAACTCTCCACTTGAGATTCGATTTTTTCCACGACTCGATTGTCGGATTGGGGAATGGATAACTCGAATACTGCCGACAACTGGGGGCCTATTCTCGAGTTGTGTGAAGATATTTTAACATGTGAATATTACTTAACGTCACGACGGATGAAATCAGTAGTGAAGCATCAAAACGGTTTCCGGCGATTCAGTCCTTAGCTGAGTTTTCGAGGAATATCTCCGAATGTGAGGGAGATACCGAAATTTTCGTAATGACCTTTTTTGTAGAGCGAATTGAAGGCTATAAAAAAGGTCATGACAACATTTTAGCTATCTCCCTTGGATTTCGAGATATTCCTTGAAAACTGGACGATAGTCAAAATCGACTTAAACCGTTTTACCGCTTCGCTACGGAAATGGTGAGTGAATATTGACATTCGTCGACGAAAAATATTCACATGTGAAGTAGAGGTCTCTATCTGTGGAACCTCAGCTTTCGCATGTGAAAGTATCTTCGCACAACTCGAGAATACGCCCTCTGGTCAGTGTCAATCGTGGAAGATATCGTCAGGTGTCATCCTGCTTTTAAATTCAGTACCAGGTTGGATCGGTTGGTCCGATGTCTCAATAGACTGGATATGGCGGCCTGTGCGGCCACAGTGATGGTATGGGCGGTATGAGTGGCATAGGTTGCTGTAGGCTGCCATTCCAGGATCAAGTGTCCTTGGTACTGAGCGAGGAGTCTTCGTCCTGACTGCCAGGATAAGGAAGACCCATTTTCGGCCCCTGTTGCACAACGACAACGCACTTTCTCATGTGTTTTTCTAAGGTACTCGGCACTGAGAATGGCATCTCGCAGAAACGACACTTGTACGTGTCCTTGCCGTGTCTGCCGTGCGTCTTCATGTGTCTCGTGAGCTTTGAACTTTGAGCACAAGCGTAGGAACACAATTCACACTTGTAGGGTTTCTCACCCGTATGCGATCGCCGATGAACCGTCAGGTTCGAACAGTTTTTGAATACTTTGCCGCAGAATTCACACGTATCATTTCTACCACTTCGCTCCTTCTTCATGAGAGGACTCGGTAGCCCTTGGAGTGTGAGACTCGATGTCGTTGCTTTCGATACTTTCCGAAATTCATTAGTCTCGAGATAATGGGGACTTGGTAACCACAGACCGCCAAAGTCCGGTCCTGTTCTGGGAAATCCCTGACCAGAAAATATATTGGCTGTTGCCGAGGAGTTGAAGTTTGTTGGCGATAATGCACTGTCCTTCTCCTTGTTGTTGTTTAGGGAGTTGGTAAGGCTGGAGGGGGATTCTGTTTTAATCAAACCACCACGGTGATTCTCTTGGAGTGCTTGCCGATAAGCTTCCGAGTACTGAGCTATGTTGTTCAGTCCAAACTTCTCCATGAGGTCACCGACTAAGCTGGGTTTAGGTTCAGCCCTTCCACTGCACTCTTCACTACTCTGACCCTGAGTTGTGCTCAAGTCTTCGGGTGTATTCTCCTCAGCATCGTCGCGCAGTTTCTGGTCGTTCTCGTCGGCCTCGTCGAGATCCATGTTATCATCGCAACTGGAGCCATCATCGAGAACTGTCTCGACACTTCCTTGGGGACTAGCAGCATTCAACGACTCCTGATGCTCTTTCTTCATGTGTCTCCTCAATTCATTGGAATTCGACAGCTCAAGTTCACAGACCTCGCATCTTGCCACGCTCAAGCCGTCCCGGTTGTCTTGGAATTGTCTCTCCTTCTCCTGATGACTTCTACGATGAACAATGAGATTCGACTGGAACCGAAACTTCTTATCGCACACTTCACACGTGTACACCGTCTCCGCCGAATCGGTCATTATCGGCGTGGATATCGCTGGCGGACTCGCCTTTTCACTGTCCGTCGAGTTGTTGTTGTTGTGATGGCCAAGTGGACTTTGAGTATAACAAGGTGGTGAGTTTTCCTTCTGGGAGTGAGCGTGTGCCACGAGATTTGTGGGATTCGTTAAAGCAGGACTAGATGAATCTGATGGATGCTGTTGTTGGGACTGTTGAAGTGGTAATACTGACGATGTATTGGGTGGTGGGAACCCGTCCTTAGGCGTCGCGCCTAAGGTTGGGTTAGCGAGGCTCCTTAGGCGCGCCGAATAAAAATCCAGGTTCGCTTCGAGTTGTGGTGGATGTCCTTGACTGGATAACCTACCATGTGACAATTCCGTTAGATTTGCTAGGTTCCGGGCGTTGTTCAGGGAATCGAGGGAACTTCTGACGAGAGGATCCCCCAGGTTGAGTCCGTCCATGCCGCGGAGAGGATCCCCGAGGTTCTGGAGGTTTCTGGTGGCCGTTTGGAGGTCCTGAAGCCCTCTGTATCCCGCCAAGGGATTCAGCGCCAGGAAGTCTGGCCTGAACATTGGCGGGAAACTCCTCTCCAGGTGCTGGGGTAATCTCAGAAAACTGTGCAAGGGATCGCCAACCAATGATGCTGACGATTGCAGCTGTTGTCGTCCGCTGCTGCCGCTGGAGTTTGTACCCCCGGACGAATTCGCCGCGGAAGAACTGCCCGTTGACTTTCCACTGAGGTTCAGGTGATTCGGGGGGCTCAGGTGGTGCGAGTGACTTGGTGTGGGCGTTGGTGGACTAGGTGCTGGGGTATTCGATGATGAATTCGCCGTCGAACTTGACGAACCGTACAACCTCGCACCGTGCGCACTCTGCGCGTGCTGTATCAACTCCCAGGCGGAGTTCAATCGGCGAGAGCACTGCGAACATGGCAGACATCTTGGCTCTGCAACACAAAGAAAGGAGAAACTAGTTACAATGGGTATCATCAGACGACAGGGATGATTGACCGGATGAAGATATCCCCTTCAACGACTCTGGGATCAGTACAGCTTGAATTTTTCAAGCCAAATTGGCGGAAGCCAATTGAATTCCGAATTTAAACGACACGCCTGTCTCGAATTGTCGTGTGGAAGATAAAGATAGATAAGAGTGAGGATGGCGGAGTGAGGGTGAGCGCAAAAATAATATCTTCGATAATCCTCGGGGTGGGACAAAGAAACGGCGGGGGATAACTTGTGAAACTGACCCTTAACGACTTTTCGTGCCTTCAGCGAGGGCTGTAGACAAACCAGACTCGGATGGAAGGAGGGGGGGGCATATGGAATGGCCAAGTGGGCGCGGGGTCGGACGAGTTTTGAATTTCAATGTTTTTAATCCGGGAATATCAGATTTTCACCCATTTTTCACGCTCTGAGATCACGACATTGTGGCCAAGCCACAATCACCCTCTGGCCGAATGTGCTGGGTGGTACGTGCAGCATGTGCGTTGCGACCGCGGGGTGTCCACAATCGGTTTTTCCTTTTTTATTTAAATTCAGATACCCTTAACTGTGAAGACCATGTGTTTGAAACATCCCTTATGCTAGGTTTTTTATTTTTTTTTCTCCGCCGACAGATGAAGGGTGAGATACCGCAATCTCTTCGCACTATGCTGTGCTGATCTCCAATAATGAAAAATAATCGCGGGATAAATACCAGGTCTTTGTTTGCCCTATTCTCATTTGTAATCCTTTGAGTTTTATCAGAGAAATTAATTCGAGTGACAAAGGAAACCTGAGGGAGAAGAGATGCTAGTGTATACGGCGGAGACTTTTGTCGGATGTATTGGAAATTCTTGCCTTAGTCGTCTCGAGATACTTTGTAATGAAGGATACGAAGGCAGTTTAAGAGGAGAAAAAGAACAGCTGAGAGAATGGGCATTATAAGGGGCAGAACCTATTCTAATTGAGATGGAGGTCTCGGATCATCTTCTTGTTGAAGGGGGATGAGGGAAAAGTTTGCTGTGATCAATCCATCAAGCATTATATGCATGTGAGTTTATGGAGTCAATATTTCCGTGAAACATTAGGTGATTTTGGGGTTAATTTTAATACAAATATATCTCGTTATACTGTGATATTCACTGGGAATTTAAAAAACGGTTTGAGAGAGGCCAGAGATATCTCCAACTGAATTCTCCCCGGAGACAAAGACTGGACGTAGAAAGCTGTTAGACTGAAGGGGCCTCCAAGATTGTTGCTGCCAAGTAAAAGGAGATAAGCAAGTGCCCGGGTATAATAAAGGTGTATCGATTCTCGGGGAAGCGTCTTTCATATGCAAACCTCGCGGCTGGCCATCCCTCAGGATTATTTTTCTCTCCTCTCCTCATTCACGAGTGCCTTTTTATACAAAGCTCCCCGGAATGATGGAAACTACCGCAGAATGGAAACTATTTTCACGATTTTAGAATTCCCGATAAAATGATTCAATTGAAAGGAGAGAACACTGAAATTTAAAGACCGAAGGGGAATTTTTCACTCAACCTTGGCTTCAACTTTTTGGTCTGAGTACATGCATGCTGGGTATCGGGCAATTTTACCTATAAATTGCCTGGCAAATTAGCTGGGAAGGAACCAGAGGGAACTTGCGAGCAAATCGCTCGGAATGGCATTGTTTAAGCATTGAATGCCCTGGCCCTGGTCATCCCCTGGTTATTTTCCCTCTCATACTCCACTTTACCTTTCACCCCAACCCTCCTTTCTTTTTTTATGGTAGACTTGATTCTTCGGGAAGGGACTTGAACTTTTCTCAGTTCTTTTTATGACATGAGATTAGTCAGTCCGTCATATCGGTGGTTTAATTTAACTGGGGAAAAACTTTTGCAAATTATAATTTTTTTATGTGCTTCCGAATATTCATTTTGCACATCAGCTGCTTCTATAGTATATAATTCACCGCTCCATATCATCTCATTGAATTCAATGGAATTTCTTCTTCAATCAATTGTGTTATCCATTTATTCGATGAACGTGAAGTCGAAGTAATTTTTTCTAGTTACAGTGGGACAATCCAATTCAAAAATATAATATACGGATTAAATCTTCATTAGTGTCGATAGATAGGGCTCAATAACACCTAGATTTAAAAAAAAAATTCTGGATCATAATAACCCAAGAGAAATCCTGAATTTAAATTTGAACGAGTACAATGTTTTCATTCGCCAGCAAAAATAATGGTGTAGTAAATTTCACCGCGATTTTTGCGCAGAAGTTCACGTTTGGACCCTCATCATTTGACCCTTGCGGTGATGAAAACACCGTGTTAATTCAATCCGCGTAATTAAAATGTACCATCATATAATTTGATAAAACAATTTTTTTTGTCGAGTTTATGCCTTCGGGCGAGTTTAGCGTGCCGAGGACCTTTAATCTCCCGTGCTCTTTGGCCACTGTCACAATATTAAAATATCGATTGGCCAATGTATGCGACGTATGCACATTGTTTGTGACTGTGATGCCTGTGAAGCCATTTGCATCAATCTCGGGGAAGGGAGGGAAAAAATACAGAATCTGCATTCCAGGTGCACTCCCGCGTCATTCCTCGGTGCATAGCGTTCGGCTTTCATGTTCACAGTGGAGCAACATTTTTTTTCGAGTCATGAAACCATTTTTTCCGGTGGGAAACGTGAATATTTAGGTGTTTGCCGGGCGAATTTGTTGAATCATAGCGATGCATCTTCTTTAAACAGTGAAATGCAATGAACGTTAGTGAGTCTCTCCTTCTTGTGGTCACAATCGTCACCACCGCGAGTAGAGGGGAATTTTGTGCATCTCAAAGGATCTCCGGCGCAAAAGTCACGAGTATACCTCAGCCGTTGACCGCAAAGACTCGGCGAGAGAAACCATTATGTCTTACGATGTCGAGAGGAAAAAAATTGGAGACCGAAACAAATATGAGACGAGGTGCAGAATGAATAAAATGAAAAAAATATTGAAAAGTCAAAACGATCAGCGCAAAAACTATGCCATTCGCTTTCATACGAGTTGTAGAATGAAAGTGAGAGCGAGAGCTCTTTTTGCGCACTCAAAATACCGATAGAGAATAAGAATATACAATTTCAAATCATCAATTGGCATCTTTATCTCCGATTGAGACGTAAAAAATGTGATTGAATGGATTTGAATGTTCCTATTGGGTCCTATTGAGTCATTAGACCAGTTGAAAATAAAAAAAATAATATGTAATGGTGGAAAAAATTCGGCGCTCGAAATTCGGAGCGTCTACGGTGGGCGTCGCTGGCCTAGAACCTCATGTCTCGAATATACGTATTGATGGAAAGAAAAAAGAAATTTCGGAAAATATGAATTTATAAAGTATAATCAACTCTAGTGTCGTCAAAATGTCTTGTTTTCAAACGGAAAAAACGTCTTATTTAAAAACATTCAAAATTTCAATTGTCAAATGTTAAACATTTTCAAAGAATATGACCTAAAAATCTGAGGAATTAAATTCAAACAAATGATAATACAGGAATATTTGAAACCTCCTCTAGGCGAAATTTTAAATAATTTCTCTCTACGTGGCAGCAATTGAATTTATGTCCACCCTAATTTTTAGAGATTACCTAAAACTACATTTTCCCCCGGTTATCTCTCAAAAAATATATATTCCCGTGAAAAATAATAGCGACTGGAACGTGTATCATTTTTATGTCCCCGGGTTTACCACCAGAAGTCAAGAATAAGAGACCGAGGGAGATGTATAAAAATGGGGGATTGTGTGAGAAAGACCGGAGATAGTACCAATTCACGAGCAATTTTCGGTGACGCCTCTGGCTATCCAGAGGGTACCGGACACATCCCCCTCAGCCCCGTGGGCAAGTACAGGATGCATGACACAATAAAATGAATCGGAAGAGCGCGTGGGGTTGAAGTCAACGTGTGAATTAATATATTCGGAGAGAAAGTTTGACAGGGAATCAAATATTTAGCTCGTGCTGGCGACAACTTGTCAATTTCAACGGATCATCCGTTCGTTCCTCTGTCTCTTCAATTTCTACTTCAGGAAAAAAATGGGTATGGATTGATATGAGGTGTTTTGAATATTTGTTTTTTCCCTCTTTCCTTTCAACAAACCAACACTGGTGTATTGATGTGCATGGCTCGTGCACACCACGTGTGACAACAATGGGACGACTCTAATTGGGTTGGGTTGAAACTCTGGTCACCAATTCTGTTATAACGGGAATAGAGTTTAAAAAAAAATTCATAATAATAATAAATAGAGGACAAAAAGTGAATGGGGTGTTGGGATGGCGGCGAGAGTGCGCGCGCGCGTGGACAATTCGGTGGAGGAACCGGTGAAGGGTTAAATCCATCAACTGGGGTGGCTACGCAGAGGGATGAGTTGGGTACATGATCTTATGGTGATGAAATTTTAAAAAGGGAACAGGTTTTTGAGTTTTGCGAAGCGATTAACCCATATGTTCAATTGAAATCGATTTAAATTTTAGTTCAATAAAGTTAAAATGCAACTACTGAAAATTTATTAAACTGACAATTCAATCGATTTCAATTAAATTAATTACTCGATAATTTTTATTTTTAAAACCCGTTTCGCCCCGACAGTTGACGAACTATTTTGAAAATTGTCAATTGAATTTTTTCCGATGTCTTCTGGTAAAAATATCGGGGCAAAAGTGTGATTTTTTACATTGAGGTAATTTTTATCATTCGATTTCTTCTTTCTCCCTTGTGTTGTGTTTAAATTTATGATTCATTGAGTAATGAAATGAGTTATGTTGATGGTTTCTCCGATTTTGTCGATTCGAAATGACTTGTATGTTTAATTTAATTGTAACAAAATTATAAAAACGTAAATAATTCATAAGATTCATTTATAATAATTATGTTACATTTTGGTTTTCCCTTAAGGGATTTTTGGATCTCAGGGGAATAACAAATTGCTTCGAATATAATCCAATCTAATTAAAGATCAATTGAAAATTTTGAAACGACGGAATAGTCCAGATCAGTACAGGTGACGCGCCGCCACCCCTCGGAATACTGCCCCCCTCGTGTGTAAAAAGCGAAGACAGGCGGTCACGCTCGCATTGATGCAGTCTGTGTCAATTTGTCAGCCCCCCCTCGGCAAAAGCCCCGGACAATTCAAAACTCAAAAAATCAAATCCGCGGTAGAGCATTGTTCGTGATCGGCAGACTACATGGAGAGGGTCACTCGCAATCGACGCATCGACCATGTACGAGCTACACGTGGCGTGTTTTATTCAGAATAAAAATTGTAATCGCTGGTTAAACCTCTTAGATGTGTCGGGGACAGGAAATTATCCGTGGTTATGGGGAGATTAACAATATTTTTCATTGAGACGATGTTTAATCGTTATTTTTGTCGTCACTTTGGCAAGTTTTGAGTGGATTGGAAGGAAAAACGATGCGTTTTGATCGAGTAGTTTCGAGATATCACGGAAATTGGGGGAATGAGAATTGTATTTTAAACATTATGAAAATGTCTTGTCTGTCAAACGTGTCCAGTGTCTCGAATTAAGACGTCTTGAGTGTCTTTGAGGCGCTAGTTTCTGCTTTGCACAATTTAATATCTCCCATCTCTCAAAAAAAATGTTTCGCTCATTTTCTCATTTTTTTTCATCTCCAATTTTATTAATGGAAGAATCAGAAGTGATGATGAGTGAAAAATATCTCACCGGAATTGATGGTGTTGGTATCAGCATCAACCGACTCTGTCTTAGGTTTCTTGCTGACCTCCTCCTTGTCGTCATCGCTCCCCTCAGTCCGTCTCTTTGGCGTTGAGCTGGCACTAGCCCTGAGTTCAATCGGACTACCAGTGTCGGCGGGATTGCCCTGAGGCGTTGGTGGGCTCTCAACCCTACCCGCTCGCTTGTTGATCGGCGCCGATATGCTCGGCACTGAATTCAATTTCTCGGGGTCCACTGTTTTCAGGGCCAGTGCGTCCTCCGGGTCGGAGTCCTCGTGCGCCGCCGCTGGGGGCGGACTGTGACAGCCCTGGAGACTGTTTCGACAGTGGTTGACCTTGTGCTCGATGAAACGGACTATTTCGCCGAGGGGGTAGGAGGCACGACAGCCACCACACTGGACGGTATCGGGGGAGGCAGTTCCTTGTGACGTTTCCGCTGGAAAAATAGAAAAGAACATTTTTTTTCAATCTATTGATTTCGTTTTTTAGTTTAATTCATTCCATTTTTTTATTCTTAAACTGAACATTTTTTATTTTTTCGAGGTGTGATAATACTCATGGATTAAGAAATCCACTGTTAGGAGAACATTGAAATTTTGTGAACAGTTGAGTAATGAATGTAAGGAGAGTGACATTTACTTCGATTTAAGGGGAAAAAATCATGAAATTTCAGTTTTTTTTAACAGAAAGATAAGAATTTTTCAACTCAATTGAATTTTCAGTCTGAACATAAATATTGAGTACCAAATTACGCTAAATTCCCAATTAATGAACTAATTTTTACAGTTTCCATCAATTATTTCCTGAAATTTTGAATTTTTCAGGACAAAATTCACTGAAATTTCAATGCAACTATATTCTGATAAAAATATCCAAGAAATAGACCAGAGACTGGAGGGCAAAATTTTTAACACCTCGAAATAAAGTCATATTTCATCGTAAAAGAGGTTTAACGTGTGTCGCAAGACAATATTCTTCATTCACATTAACTAATAACAGTTCATCAGGAATCCATCCTGTCATACGTAGCTCCCAAATCCCGATTAACCACTGATTAAATCAATGGCCACTAAAACAAAAGATCGTCGCGAGTAAAAAAAATTACGAGAGAATATATATTATGAATGAACCTCTTGGCTGGACTTGGATAATTCAGCGTGACGGTCGTTCGGCCGCAGAGAGGTCCGGGGGTCACCCGCAGACGTAACAATTCACTTTTAGGAGCCCTCTAGGAGTCTCCCCCCTCCCCCGGCGGGTTACATTCCCGCGTTATTCCCGTTTCGTGTGGATATAGTGTTCTTTCAGGGGGTGAGACAAGGAGGGACATTAACATAGAGATTGGCAGGAGTTCATATATCGATTTCCATTCCGAGAGATTCGAGTGCTACGAGAGACTCTTGAGTTAACCAGAAAATTGAGACTCCGGAGATTTTATTGTGAACGTTGAATTTGTGAGTCTGAAGACTGAAATTGTCCAAGTTTTTAAAAAAATTTGTTGGGCGGAGTTCGGGGGAGAGTGACCGCGTCCGGCGCGCAGGTCAGAGGAGTGGCCACTCCTTTTTTCACATAAAAACTTCTATTTTATTTTTATGCGATAAAAAATATTTCTCAATTTTTTTCTCAAATCTAAACACAATGATTCTAGATAATAGGGGGAGCGATACACCACTCACTAGCCAATACCGCTCTCCTGTCTCTCACTCAATTTCAGAACTCTACTATGAGTTTATAATTATCATGAAAATTTTCGCATTTTAGAACTTGCAAGGTCTTGCGATGTAAAAAGTTTCTTATTTGTCAATGAAACGACGCTGAGACAAACTCGAGAAAATGCGAAAAATCGCCGGAGGTGGGATTTGAACCCACGACCCTCAGGTTTTCAGTCTGAGCGTTTACACACATGACTATCCAGTGAGAATGCCTTACGATGTAATTTTTCTGCACCAGTACGTAAAGTTGTTCAACATGATAATAGCATTATCATTATGGTTTGTAATTCTTTTTCACACACTGATAGAATGATTCATTTATTCCAAATGAGATTCGTTAACTATTAACGAATGGTAGAGTTGAATATGACCAAATGAATATTCGTTAATAGTTAACGAATGGTTCACTTGAATGGCGAAAGTCAAGTCAAACAAGGCTCCTTAAATTATAAATTATATTAATTATTAACGAATGAACATTGGGAACCAAAATCCATTCGTTAACAATAACTAATCCGTTCTATCAGTGCATCATTTGACACCGAAATCCAATTTTTTTCATCTTTTGATCAATAAATCTTTTGAATTCAGTAGCGAAGTGGTAAAACGGTTTAAGTCGACTCATCTCCCAGTTGAGTTTTTGAGAAATATTTCGGAATCTAAGCGAGATAGCGAAATTTTCGTCATTACATTTATTGTAGCTCTCAATCGGCTCTACAAAAAAGGTTATAACAAAAATTTTGCTACCTCCCTTAGATTCCGAGATATTTATTGAAAACTGGTCAATATTGACTTGTACCGTTTTACCACTTCGCTACTGAATTATTAATCTCGAAATTATTTTTACTCGAAATTATTTGTTTGGGATGTGAAAATTATTTATTCTGTAGGCGAGCGGTGCAGGCACCACTTCACCTAGGCATAAACCACCAGCCAACTCACCGACGCTCTTTCCTAGTTTACCAAAACTCAAGTGCTGATTTTTATCTGAAAAATCCTCTTAACGACATTTAATCCTCCAAATATCTTCATTGTCAAAATTCCGGATGTACTTGACAGAAGTAAAATGCAACTATTTGAGTTTTTTGTTGCATTCTCACTTGTTATTATGAAGATCCCAGGTACGAGATACATTTCTCACTGGGCTCGAAGGGTTGGAAGTACATCCGACGCAGCATCTTGGTTGTACGTCACGTTGGGATACGCGTGTGTGTCTCACCACTCGGTTTTTATCCAACATCTGCCCCCGAAAAAACAAAAGCCCATTGTCGTTAACGACCGGTCGCGCGTCTCTTGTTTCTAACCGAGAGGTTTTGAATCGTAGGTGAAATAACGGAACCGGTGTGTGTGTGCACCACCGTTGAGGTGAATATCAACCCCTCACGCATGGAAATCACCACAGAAAATGGATAAGTGGGGGAAACTTTTCCATTTCCTCCAGAGGAATAAAATTTTTTTTGAGTGAATTAAGTCATTTAGAATTTTTTACGAAAATATATTACGGAAATATAACTTTTCGGCGGCATTGTGTTGGAATATACCTTAAGAATTTAATTCTTAAAACTTGAGGAAATAATTTCCCGAGCGAGAATATTTCTCCTATTTTATAGTAGAGGAGAAATAATTAAAAATGAACGACGTGGGTACATCGGAAAGATGGGGAAGAAAAGATATCTTCTTTCTCAGTCGTGCGGGGGAATAAAATACAACATTGCCCTCCGCGAAATGTAAGTTGGATTGCTTACAAATTGGCCCATACATCCGTAATACGACGATCAGAGTTCACGAATGGGGCTGCACTGTATTAGTTGTTCCCAGTTTTCCATTATCCCCGACATCTTCTCACACCGATTTTCATTATTTTTGTAGACAGCTGGGGCCTAATATTGCCTGACTTATGTCATTTTATTAAGATGTGATTATCTTTTATGAATAAAGACAACTGTTAATGAAAGTATTCTTCAATGGTTGAATTGCGCAGCTAAAAAAATGATTTGAGATGAGACTTTCAAAAGTGTTAATTTGAGGCCTGAAATTTTCAAGTTGAGATTATTTTAAAATCTTGAAATAATATCCTATTTTAAGAATTTCAAAAGTCTTCATTTAAAGCTTGAAATTCTCCAGGATTTGACTATAAAAGTAGAAAAGCATTTCACTTGAAAAAAAATAGCTAAAGTACTTGTATATCCTCAACTTGAAAATGTCGAAAGTCTCAATTTGAGATGATAAATCTCAAAATAAAACAAGTTTTTTTTTAAATTTGTAACACGGCTGACGCCAATACACAGTGATCACTTAAAAATGAGCCAACGGGAATGATTTAGCCCGCAGAATGAATTATGAATGCAGGTTAGATGTGTCATGCGACAATAAATATCTCGAGCGAAAAAAAAAAATTCGTAGATCCCGGGGCGACGTGCTTGTTAGTACTCTCATCCTGTCAAAACGTCCAGAGGACACATCCAACCAATCGAATTACGATCATCCCCGGGGCTCGGGTACCGACCGAAACCAATAATTCTATTATCCATTAGTATTGAGTCGCACCAATTTCCTACAGTACTCCCCCGTTTCCTCTCCCCAATCCGCCAATCTTTGAGTCAAAGATCACATGTGTACATGCCCCTATGTACCTGTGCACTGGGGCCAAAAAGTATGTAATAAATGCTGCAAGTGCAATTGCTTGGTATCGATTCAATTCCGCAGGAAATTTTAACGTATTTTTTTACATTTTTACGGGGGTGCAACGGATCGCATTTAATTGTCAATATCTCCCGACCAAATGATGCGATTTGGGCGAGTCAAGGCTCATTTCAAAGCCCGAAAAAACGCCGCGAAAACGAGAGAAAAATCGGAAAATTTCACTCTGCCGTTCTCAACCCATCGTCATATCAAATCCGATCCGTTTTACCCCGATAATTGAGCATAACAAACCGAACAGCCTGTTGTCGGCCATGGTGGTGAATTCCTGGAATTCCTTGGTAACCACAATCACTCAGTGCAAGTAATCGAAGAAGCCGCACGTATCATATCGCGTATTCTTTTATTCACCATTCGTTCAACCCCTGTCACGTATAACCGAAAAATCCGACTACAATTTGAGATTCTGAAGGCTTCGTTCAGCTTGGTCCATGCTCGAATGATGACTGGGGACATGGGGAAGGCAAGGGGGCTGGGTCAGGGGCCCCCGGATATCAGAAGAATAGAAAGGACCCCGGTATATGCGCAGAACTGGCCCATTCCGTGGCTCAATGGAGGGGGCAACATCAAGATTTTTATTCGGAAGCTTAATCTCCTCGCATGCGTGTTTTTTTTTTATTCATCAGGCTTCCAACCCTCTCGGACCTTTCACCCAGGGGAGAGCGTTTTTTATGAGCATTTTTTTTCACCGTTAACCCCCTCCCTGCACTCTGCACAGTTTTTTATTCTTACAATTCTGCAATGATGGGACGCCGCGAAATGCGGATGGGGTGAACAATGGACCGAGGGACTGTGGCCGTTTCTCTCAAGACTCTACGTGAGATGCACGGGGAAAATGAATGTACGCGTTGTGTCCCCCTATTGGTGGATTAAAAAATATACCTACCCGTATACCTGTACCCTGGGAGATTTTTTTCGGCTGTTTTTTAGACCCTTTCTTTTACACGGCCGTCACTGAGCTGATGCTCCAGTTTATCATGATAATTATTTATGTTTTTGAAGTCATGGGAATGTCCGGACTCGAGTT